AAAAACCTTTAAAATAACAGTTTCTATACTTCTTTTTTTTTTAAATTATAGCAACAGTATTTAAGAAATGTGTTTCTGTACATGTATTTTCGCATTATCGTTAGTGCGTCCTAGCTTTGCCCATTCCTGGGCTGTGGTTTTTTTTCTGTTGTTAGAGGAAATGATCACATTAGTTGAGCATGGACCAGCTGAATACGTGGTTGGTCTGAACATTACACATTCTGTATATTTTCTAACATATATCTGTCCATAAATGATCTTAAAATGAGACAAACCGATATCTTTGATGTGGTGAATCCAAGCACATATGTTAACAGCCCAGGACTAAATAATACCAACACATCCACCGATTCATACAAATAGTAAAAATATTGCAATTCTTTTACTTCTATGATCTATGCTTAGAGACATATTTATATGTATATAATGAAACATAAATAATATTAGTCGGTTTACATCACAATAAGAATTGGTCTCTTAGGGCATCCGTGTTTCATTCAACTTGTCTATTTTTAAATTCCAGAGCAGAGTTGGCAGTGAACAGTTGTTGTTTTTTTTAAATCAGAAACTAAGTGAGTGATAATCTAGGCCATTGCCACCGTGGACAAGACTCAAGACAAGTACAGTATCACACCAAGTACTCTCACTTTGTCTCACACACACACCTGCCATTTCAATGGAATCCTTCTGCTGCTTTTTTTTGAGTTACAAAACATGATCAAATCATAACTGAGACGTTTCTCTACCCATTGTTGTTTCGTATTGTATTCCAAAGCACTCTCTGAGAGCAGACGCATGTTTACTAATGAGTCACACACACACACACACACACACACACACACAGACAAATGCACGCACGCGCGCATGCACACACGCAGCCATCACACACCACACACCACACACACACACACACACACACACACACACACACACACACACACACACACACACACACACACACACACACACACAGAGTTCACAGTTGGATTATAAAATGGCTCTTCTGGAGCTGCAGTGGCTGAAGCTGGTGACATTACTCTTATGTGAGATCTTGAGCGTCGTGGCAACCGACAGGTTTGGTGTCATGGCAACAGAGAGGCCGGGCGTTGCGGCGAGCGAGAAGCTGGTGGTTTTCGCCAGGGCAGTGGTGCTGCTGCTGCCTGGTTCGTTGGGGCAGCCGTGCAGCAGCAGGATGCCCACGCATTCCTGGCTGCCGGCGTTGCGCGCCGACGCCAGGGCTGTGTGTCCGTGCGCATCCCGACAGCGAACGTCACAGCCGTACTGCATGCGACCAGAAGGAACACAAGTTTACACACAAACACAGTTGAAGCCAAATTCCATATTTGATACGGGGACAGAAAAACAAAACAAAACAAAAATCTCTCTTCTATGATTACATGAAATCAAGGCATGAACGTGACAGCACTGAGAAAATCACTTGTGCTTTGCAACACATACGCAGTGGACGGCTCGGGAGCATGTTAGTGTGCATGTGCATGTTAACTTGTTGAATACCTGAATACTCGAGTCAATTACTGCAGTCTATTGTCTGTTATTTCTGAATAGCAGACCGCTGCTATGAATGACCGTTGCTATGGACGCTATTTCCAACCGTAGAATCTCACACTATTGTTAGATTCTGCTATCAACTATTTTTTTTAGCAGACGCAATACAGTACAATTTTTAAATCAATAAAATATTTTTTTTGCGTTATATTTTCGGTCAAATTATTGATTTCTTTAGTAAGTAGACATGTAATAAGCGGAATAATTGGGGGGGGGTCCTGCATCACCCTGTCAGGGTTTATTTCCCAATAATGACCGGCTGTACATTATCCCTATACTTGTATTTGATTAATTTGCTAATTTGCATTTGGCTGTCAGCACATAAAACAAAGACAAGCGGGAGAACCAATTGCAATCCCACGAGCACGATGAAAACCATTCAGAGGAGGAGAGACGGATGTGAGGGAGAGAGAGACAGAGACAGAGACAGAGAGAGAGAGAGACAGAGTGACAGAGTGAGAGATGTCTATTTACCCAGATGATGAGCTGTGTCATGACGACATCAGCCTGCTGACAGGCGGCGTGGAGGGGGGAGGCGGGCAGCCGCGCCAGCAGCGGGGAGCAGGAGCTGAGGGCCAGGCAGACGGGCGGGGCGTTGATGTCCTCCTTGGTGCAGTGGGCCAGGATCAGCAGCAGCCGCGGGAGGTTTCGCTCCAGGACGGCCAGGATCAGCCGGCCCGAGAGGGTGATGCCCGGCCCCTCGCTGGGGGAGGGTGGAGGCAACGAGGCCACAAACAGCCTCTGTTCATACTTGGCCCGGATCCATGACTCCCGCTCCTCTCTGAGCCAAGGGGGGGGGGGGGGGGGGGGGGGGGAGACAGAGAAAGAGACAGACATACAGATAGAGAGAGAGAGCGAGAGAGAGAGAGAGATACAGAGATACAGAGAGAGAGAGAGATACAGAGAGAGATACAGAGAGAGAGAGAGAGAGATACAGAGAGAGAGAGAGATATACAGAGAGAGGGGGAAGAGTCATTGAGACGGTTTTCAACTTCATCCCCGGCCGCTAAATTGTGCCATTTAAAGTCATCATCACTCCCGCTACATCATCATGTCGAGGCCACTGGGGCCGACCCGGGCCCTTGAGATGACACCTCTCCACAGGTATAAGTATAACCAACACAAGAAGAGATACCACCGAATGCTCTCTTTACTCCGCACGTACGACAACAGCTACAAGACCCCCGCGCCGTCGACAACCGGCAACAACAACAACAACAACCCTCAGCACTCACCGCGAGGCGTCAGGCAGCGGTTTGTGGCGGCCGAACGTGCGGCCCTCCCAGATGCTGTTGGCCAGGTGGTTACCGATGGCGCCGAGCACCAAGGTGAGCTCGCGGGGCAGGTCGTCCAGGTCCAGGGAACGCACCCGGGACAAGTGGGTGCCCAGGTTCCTGTGGATCCCGGAGCACTCGATGCAAATCAGAGCCCCGAGGTTCAGGCTGGCCCAGGTGGGGTCTGGAAGAAAGAGAGCGAAGGGGAAGTACAGCGTGAAGCGGCCAGACTCCGGTTAGACTTCGAATGCACAGGGGGGCCGCAATGCAACGAAAACAGGATTTGAGCGATGTACAGCAGAGATAAAGGAGAGATAAATGTATGACTGACTGGGGGCGTCGCAGTCCACACAGAAGCTGTTGCCCCGCGCGTTGCGGATGGCCTGCAGAGCCTCTGCTTCACTCCCACTGTTGTTGCGGATCTGTGAAGTAGAGAGAGAGGCCGGGTGTCAGGGTGCCGGAGATAACGGTGATGTAACGGACACGCCCCCGGAGGCATCGCAGCAGCTTAGGAAGCGGTCTAGGTTTTGCTGCGTCTCCGTTGGTTAATGTTCATGCCCCACCGATAAATTCCACCGTCAGACACACTTTCAATAAAACGTCGTATTCACGCACAGTGCAGACGTTCAACGAAAGACGAAGTGCTTATTCCATATATCAGATAAGACTTTGTAATGGCCAATCCTAGGCTTGTGTAAAAAAATGTATCTCGACGTGTATTATGTATTTCTCTTGCCTTGTTTTTGCTGCTCTCGCAGAGCTGGAGGCTGGCCAGGATCTGGCTCTCGATGGCCTGCACCCAGGAGTCCCTCTCCTCCACTCCCTGGGCTTCAAAGTGCCATGTCTGGCCCGTGCTCGACACCACCAGGAAGTCAAAGTTATCTTCGTCTAACAGAGCAATAGCGTTAAAAAACACACACAAGGGGTTTTAGGGGAAATGTGTAGCATTCGGAGTAAATTCCGATTTTTATTATGATTTGCCTCTGTGCTGATGCGTGCTGCTGTAGCGCCGTACATTCCCCTCTGGGGACACTGAAGCGCCAGTCTGTTTATCTATCTATTATTCTGCAGACAACAGGGACGTATTATTCTTGACTGCAGATTTCTGACCAGTGGTCCTTAAAAATGTCAGTGTGGAAATATATTGTGTACAATTAATCGTGTATCTCATATGGAGTATGTTATTGCGGACTGCGGTAGGCCTAGGTGTAGCGGATCATGGGCATTTCTTGATTTAATGAATTTACGGTTAATTAAGACATTTTGTTCAGCGTATTCTTTGCCCAGATGTGTATCTATTTTACTAAAACATGAAACAAAATATTCAAAAAGGCATTTAAGTAGCATCGCACAAGCGTTGAATCACGGTAAGAAATGACAAACAAATCAAAATGAGTGTTAGGCTGACCAGCAATATTAAATAATGGAGAAATGTATTGGGGTTGTGCCATGCCAGAATAGCTGCATATGGAAGAATCACCAAACATTACATAACGCTTCCTCAAACACAACAAGCAAACACAAACACTAAGACCAAGAAAGACAGAACCAGAAATACAGATGTCTTCCGAGTCAGACAGAATTTGAAGAAGGATGTGACATAACATCATTACCTGTCTTGTTTATGTTTCTTAAGCTACCAAAGCTTTTCAGTTTCCACATTTTTCGCTTGGCTTACAAGAGCGAATGTCGCAGAAAATCCAGAGAGAAAAGAGAGAAGGAGGGAAAAAAAGAGAGTGCAGACAGCAATTTAACATTAGTCAAACTTAATTAAAAACTCATTATTCTTTACCATCATTGCTTCTGGCTTTGCAATTATCAATTAGGTTTTGATCTGAGCGGCAGGAAATGAAGTCATAAATGTGAAAAAGCGTTACCATCTGATTGGCCGGCAGCTGCATCTCCTTTCTGGTTCATGCTCTTCTTCCTTCTATGTTTCTTCCTGTCCGACGGGGGAGACGTCCCGGCCACGTCTCTAGTGGACGACGAGCTGGACACTCCCTCCATGTCTAAAAGCACCACATTAAACAACACATTAAATATAAGTAAGTAAACACTACCCTTTATATCAAATTCACAATGAATCATGAGTCATCCATGAGCAGGGATACAGGGCTCCATAGGTATCTTGCTCAAGGGTGACTACAGGTAGACCGCTGCAGACGTCGGGGTTTCGAACCCAGAACCTTTCGGCCGGGAGTCAAACACCCTAACCACTCGGCTATCCTGTTTTCGCTGTGTGCAACTTCCAACAAAATGTTCTCACTGACACGTTGCCGCTTGTTGGACGGGGTTGAAGGGCATCTCTGCACCGTTTTAGCGTTAGTGTTCATGACGAGAGCATTACCCAGACGCCCCGGCTCCTTCATCGCATCAAGCTGTCAGGACTCATAGGGACTGGACAATAAACGGTGACTTCAGACATTGGCAAAGTAACGGGAAGAAGACACAGACTCAACCACTTGAGATTTCACCGTTGGTAGTTCTGCGCGTAGTTTTTGCTGAGATAAAGAGAGTATGGGTTGTGGATGTAAACTGGGGATTGATTACTAATTGTGTCGTTCTACATTTTTGGTCATGTGTTGTCGCGTTTGATTGGTCAAAATGATGTTTGATTTATGAATATTTATAAAATGCTCTTTTTGCAAGGGGCCTAAATAATAATATTAACAATAACCTTTATATAACGCCTTTCAAGGGACCCAAGGATGCTTTACACGTAGCAGAAAAAAACAAAGTAATACAGGAACAGAAAACAATGGGGGATGGCAGAAATGAACTAGAGACCATAAGCCTTTGGTGAACAGCCTTGGTGAAGCCTGGGAGAAGACCTTCCACCCTCTGTTGTCCACCACCTGGCGCATACACAACAATCAACACATAGTAATACATAAGAACCGGCTTGGATCTCCTCTGACCTGGGTTGGCGCTGTCAGGTCCCTCCTTGGCTCTCCCATTGACCCCCAGCGGGGGTCCACAGGCAGGCCCGGCGCGGGGCGGTCTCTTCCCAGGCACCTTCACAGTGACGCGGAGCAGATCTATCTCCTTCCCCGGCATGTTCAGCATGTAGTCCTGCGTGTGGAACCGTCCCAGAATGCAACACACCTCCACTATCACGTGATCAGCACTGGAGGTTTTCATGGATCTATTCGCTATCTTACTATTTAGCAGACACTTTTAACGAAAAGCCAGACTGAGAATAATCAAAGCGTACAATCAAGCATATTGAATATATTTATTTTCCTTTCGTGTTTCTATATAAGATAGGATATAATTTGAAGCCACTGGTGCCGCATTGACTCACGTTGACGCTGGGATGATAAGACAGGATGCCGTCGTTGGAGAGCGTGACATATTTCTTCTTCCACTCTTTGTTCAGCGAGTTCCCACTGCGCTTCAGCAGAAAGCCCTGTGGTGGGATGTGCCCCCACAAAGATGCCTCTATGTAGAAATTACTTTGGCAGCGAAATGACCGCAGCCAGGACCGACCGACTGCCAAAAGACTACGATCTATTCATCTTCTTTTTTAAATTTTGTATTTATTTATATATATATATATATATATATATATATATATATATATATATATATATATATATATAAGAGATTACTGCGTAGAATGAAATGGACTTTACACACCTAATGTGCATTAGAAAAAGTGAGGTCATTTGTGCGGGGGACATTAGTTTCATTAAATTCCTCCCTGCCTGACCCTACCTGTTTGATGGGGATGGAGCGTCCGCTGCCCAGATCTCCCATACTGTCTGTGCTCCTCCGGTTGGAGTCGCTGCCTCTCCGCCCCTGCGCACAGAACCGACCCAATTGCATCGTCACAAACACAGACACAGGAAAGATTGGAGAAAAAAAACATGCGTGAAGCTGGGCTTGGCCTGCTCGGTGGAGTATCCGTCGGTACCGTGAAGCGGGGGGCGCGTCTGCGAGGGGCGCTGCTGCGCTGGATGGCGGCGGCGGAGGCGGAGGGGGCGGACCCGTCCTCCGTCGCCCGCTCCCCTCTTGCCGCCGCCTGGCTGCAGAGATCCTTGTGATTGATCACAGGCGTAGAAGGCAAGGAGGACGAGTAGTCGCTGCTCTGACCGCCGTTACTGGCCTAGTGGTGGGGGGGGGGGGGGGGGGGGGGGGGGAGATTGGGCTGAGTGTGTGTGTGTGTGTGTGTGTGTGTGTGTGTTTCAAAGCACATTCAAAGCAGCATGTATGCCAAACAGCCTGATAGATGAGATTACAGCTGCAATGTCTTACCTGTCCGGGGAAGACGCCCGACACGGGCGTGGAGCCTTCTGAGTGGCTGGGGGAGTTAGGGAGGGACTTGCAGGAGGCCAATAGCGCCGCTTGCTTTTTTGCCGCCATGATCTTCTGAGCAGCTGTGGAGCAAAAAAAAAACAAAAGAAAAACGAGGTGGCTTACAAGCTACTGTCACTGTTCTGTACATTTGCTACAGGTTGTTTTACGCGGTATTTTATCGATGGATTTTGAAGCGGCGGGTTAGCAGACCATCGGTGAAGACTCTGTTGATGTTGAGGCCGTACGTGGCGCAGGTTTCATAGTAGGTGCAGCGCCGCACGTCTGAGCACAGCTGTCTGGCCCGGCCGTCGTCAATCACCCGGGGGTTGCTGCTGCTGATTTTATCTACGCGATGACATCAAAATATTACATTTTCTTCCAATTAAAATGCGCGACTTGTTTTTTTTTTCAATCTAACAAGATTTCAGCGCCGATAATAACCGCGTCACAGAACCGCGCGTATGCGGGACCACCGGTCTCTCACCCTGAGTGCCCACGACGATGAAAGCGATCTCGGCTATGGGCCGGTGGACGCTCAGCTGGTTGTAGTTCCTGTAGACCTCCTGGAAGCTGGCTTCGTTCTCCAAGCTGAACACCAGGATCACCGCGTCCACCCAGCAGGCAAACTGAAACGGGGAGTAAAACACCGGGGGGAGAAAAAAGGTCAGAGGTCAGAAATTGAACTCGGGGGGGGGGGGGGGGGGGCTTTGAGGGACCACTAGAGACAGCGGACGTTAAAATATTCATTTTGAGCGGGTCGCGGCGCGTACAGTACGCCGCCATACGCAACCTTAATCTTTAGAAAGAAGCTTACTGATGGTTCAATGTTAGTTCGTTTCAAGGGGCTATTTCATTGAGTTTGCAGCTTTTTTGTTCGCTCAGTGTTTTTAACAGTACATGAAGGCCTTGTTGATTACTGCAATACTGGTGAATACGTGTTTTATTTGGGGGTCGGATCCCGAGGCCAGACCAGCTGAACCGCCGCTCTACAGTTTTATGTTGGAGTCACCTGAGCGTCGGGTGGCCCCGTTTCCTCTCGGATCACGAGCAGATGACTCTGTCCGTCCACCAGCATCTCTTTGATATACTGGCGCCCTGTAACACCCAGAAATAGTGCAGCGGTGACATTACTTACAAATCTCATTGCGGGTAGTGGCGGGTTTGCACTTTGAGTTTCAGAGAAAAAGAGAAAAGACATATGAAGGTTGTACGGACCATCGGGGTTCTCAGCAGGCAAGTAGCTCCCAGTCATGTGTCTGTGAACCAGGGCAGACTTGCCGCTGTAGGGACCTCCTAACACACCCTGGAGGCCGCGCGCACGCACACACACGCACACGCACGCACACACACGCACGCACACACACACACACACGTTATTATCAGGTTATCTTCAAAGTGCGCTGACCTGCTTCACACTGTCTGAATTCTTACCAGGTGAAGCTCCTGTACGGTCTGGTTGAAGGTCCACTCTTGACTAGCGCAGGCCGCTAGAAAAGAAAGAAAGAAAGAAAGAAAGAAAGAAAGAAAGAAAGAAAGAACAAACAAA